CTTTCAACCAAAGGTTTGTTTTTTCTACTTGGTTATGGTCTTTTCATCAGAATACAGAAGTTACATTTCTCCTGTGTGGCACTCAGAAGTCATAGCCATATATATCCAAGACAGGTAAAAACCCCAGTGAGCATATGAGCTTTCAAACTATCTGAAACTACTTCAGAACTAGAAACTAATTTTTAAGAGAAGGAGAGTCAATCCCACAACAATTTTATTTAAAACTCAACTTTAGGACCAACTTCATTTTAAAAATCACTTCATAATTTATAGTTGTTTCATCAGATTAAGAATACAAATGCAAAGATCTTAGAGATACAATTTCTACATTATATCATAAACCTAAAAAGAAATTTGAGGGATCAGTTGGTATTGTCCCTCTTTGTTAGTATTGTATATATTTTGTAACTGCCTGTTTATCTATCACATTTAAATAATGACAACACACACATACACACACAATAAATATTTCCATGTATAACGTCATAGATCTTGAGGTGACTGTCATCTTTCTTGTATCCATCCTGTACCTCCACTCATACCTACCCATACCTAAACTACATTTCTCAAGTTGCTAATGCAATTCAGTTTTTATATCTATTTTGTCATAGTGAGAGAACAGTTCACAATCCTCCCTTCGAAAACAATTATATATATCTCAAGTGTTACTAAAACCTGTCTCATATATCTTAATTTTCAAACTTCTTAGATTAACTTGTAAGGTCCAAAGCTGACAATGGCTACCTGCTATTTCTGAATTTGGCTAATACCAAATACATTGTAGAGTCTTACTCTCAGACTGCCCATACATCTTGTCCTATAGCTTAACAATGCAAGAAATGATCTAGTAAAGTTAATGGCCCATTGCTAAGGCAAAGGTAAACTCACATAATGAAGCATCTGATACTCATATCTAAGCATGTAATAGGCATTTTAATGAGCTAAATGAGCTTGAATATTTAATCTCAGAATATCCCTTAAAATTGTTCTCTATATTTAAAGCAATATTCCATACACAATTCAAACTCTTAGAAGTTTGTTTTCAAGGGTTGTTTCCTGTCAGTTAAGTAAAGAAAATGTTCTTTGCAATCACTTCAAAAGCATTGATGATAGAAGAGCTTTAATGTTAATATCAGAAGCAACATAAAGTAAATATATGAAAGGATGACACTGTGATAATAATAATAAAAAAAAGTTGATTGCAAGACTTTTCTTGAACAGATTATGTAGAAACTGAGAGAGCTTCAGTTTAATAGTCCCAAAATGATCCACTAAGTGGATTCCTGTCTCTAAGGTGAAAAAATAGTGTTGAAAATGAGAAAGTCAGTAGGTCTAACACAGGTAAATTTTCATTTCCTCTTACATTTTAAAGGATTTCAGAGAAAATATAGTGCATTCTCTACCACAATAGAATTGATAGACCTAATTAGAGACGGGGGGAAAAAAATCACAGATTCTTCTCAACCAAAGCAGGTATACTTTGAACATATAACACTGATCTATGGCTACGTACTCTACTGTAACATTTTCAGGGACAAGAAATCTATTCTGATATGTTATGTCTTAATTGTTCTTCCTTTGATTTCTAACTAGTGACCTAGTTCTTCTTTCTATTGTAATGGCAAATAACTCTGTACTCTTTCCCACATTGCAGCTCTTTAAATGTACATAATTACTCATATCACCTAGTAGCAAGGAGCTCTGGTGGTGCTATAGGATAAGCACTGACCTGCTAACCACCAGGTTGGCATTTCAAATCCACTAGCAGCTCTGTGAGAGAAAGTTGACACTATATGCCTCTGTAATGATTTACAGTATTGGAGTCCTGATGTGACACTGTGGGTCAATGTGCTGGACTGCAAAGTGGGTTTGAACCACAATGGTTCAGTGGTTTAATCTCACCAGCTGCTCCTCAGAAACCCTATACAGGGTCACTATGGGTGACCTTTAAACTGATTTGATGACACTTTAAAACAACAACAACAAATCCTATATAGGGTTTCTGTGTGTTGAAATCAACTCTATGGCAGAGGGTTTGGAGTTTGGGAATCACTGAAGACAAGTCTTTCAAATCTAGAATAATACTCTGATACTTCAACCATTCATCAAGTGAAAATGGTTTGTGACCTCTTAAAAATATCTGTTAATATCAATCCTATCCCCTCTGTATACAGGATTGATAGGGATGGGCAACTTAAACATTGGCTTCCTAAAATGAGGGGGTGATAAAGGCACGAAGTGACTGGCTTACAAGTTTTCAAGAGGGAGGTTAGTTTCAGAGTGCATGGGGGAAGGTAGAATCCCCACTGAATAGTTTCATCTTGTCTAGATGGGTCTGATAAAAAGAGATGGGGATAAGATTCTTAAGATTCAATAGTGAGTAGTTGTTATTGCAACTGTCACAACTGTAAAGGTAGAACTTTTGTAACAAAAGGGAGGGAGAAGATAATCTTACAGTTCAGGAACAGAGGACCCTAGGACCATCAAGGGAAAAGAGCATGAGTGGAATGTGGGACCCTATCCAGGGAAGCAGCAACACCAGAGATGGAGACAGAGATGAGGACATGAAGAAAGAGAGCAGCTGAGGACTCTAGACTCATGGTAAGAGAAGGACTGGGTGTTGGCGGCCAGGAGGCAGGCTGCAGAATGTGCTGTTTGGTTGTTTAAATAATTATATATTCCTGAGTGTTTTGTGTACATCCTCTCAAAAAGCAAAACAAAACAAAACCCAGAAGGATAGAAGCAAATACTGTTGAATGACGTTGCACAGGGGAAATTATAATCATTGCAATGAAATGATGAGTATAAATTTATTATAAGGAGTTATGTGATTAAATTGGACCTACCCACATAATCCAGAGGTCCCCAGAAGGCACAGATGATTTATGATCAATTACTAATAAAAGAAGCTCTGGTAGCGTAATGGTAACGAATCAGGCTGCGAGCTGCAAGGTCAGCAGTTCAAAACTACCAGCGGTTCCGGGGAAGAAAGATGAGGCAGTCTGCTCCCGTAAAGATTTACAGCCTCGGAAACTCTGTACAGGGTCACAATGACTCGGAACCGACTCCACGGCACATAACAACAACAACAACAACTAATCAAAAGGTTGGTGGTTATTTCTATGAATTTACAGTCATTGAAGACCCTAGTGAGCACAGTTCTATTATGAAATATGTGAGGTTACCATAAAGTGATCATAAAAAATCAGCAAATATTTTTCTGTTTATTTTTAACCTGCATGAACTGGGACAATCTCCTCATCCTCAGATGCTTAACAATTACATTAGTAAAGATTCTTTTGCTATATAAGATAACATATTTATGTTGTTGTTGTTGTTATGTGCTGTGGAGTCGGTTCCAACTCATAGCGACCCTGTATGGGGTTTCCAAGGCTGTAAATCTTTATGGGAGCAGAAAGCCTAATCTTTCTCCTGTGGAACTGCTGGTAGTTTTGAACTGCTGACTCTGAGGTTAGCAGCCCAATTCGTAACCACTATCTACCAGAGCTCCTTAGGTTCCATGAATTTAACATACTCATAGGTTTCTGGATTTGGCATGAGCTTCTTTGAGAGGTCTCATGTGGTAATTCTAACTAAAAATGACAATTCTATCTTACATTATCCAACTTTGTGATTAAAATATTTTGAGCAGGAGAAGTTAAAGACATCCTCCACTTTCATAAAACCCCAAACCAATGCCTTCAAGTTGATTCTGACTCATCGTAACCCTAGTAGGGCTTCTGTGACTCTACATCTTTATGGGAGCACAGCCCCATCTTTCTCTTCAGCATATGGTGGGTTTCAACCACTGACCTTGTGGTAACAGCTCAATACCTAATTCACAGAGTCTCCATGGCTCAATTTCATAGCAGCCTGTTTATCAACATTATTTGGAAACCATTACTTGAATAGAAATGACTCCTCAAAATTGTTTACTTAGAAAAGAAAATGTTATTGTTTTTATCTTTTTCTGAAGATGTTTGGTGATCTTTACTGAATCTCTACTCCAAACAATCAGAATGCAGTTTTGAAATGTAAAATTTAATGTATTTCCATATGCACATACTTGAAGCCTGCCACTGCTATCATTCCTAAGCATGTAGAGTAAAAGCAGCATCTCTCTTTGTTTTACTAATTGCTTTGTTTTCCCCAAGCTGCTAGCATAACATCTGCCAGGCCAGATGAATAAACAACTTACACCTTAGGACCACTGATGAATAAACAACTGGCACATCATGGTGTAAGGACAAGATCTTTCCAAGAAGACAGTAGACAGTTTTCAGACGACAAAGACCTCAAGGATAAATGAAGCTGAATGCCCCCAAATCATTACAGTGGTAATGAAATTGTTGATGCTCTAATGATCTCATACTGTCTGTAATTTTATTGATTTTATTTTTCAACAAAAGTGTTGAAGACAAAATTCTAAGATAGGCAGAATGTTCACAGATGCTCACATTCTCATATGTGATTCTGCCAAGATATTTTTACATCTTTCTGCACATGAAACAAAATGAAGAGATGTATTATAGATGCATGCTTCTGGTAACCTCCTAGAAGAAGGAAGCTTATTATATATGCTCATTTCCTGGCTAAAGTATCAAAACATTTCTAACTTAAAAAAATAAAAAATAAAAATGAACAGCACTTCAAAATAAAATAGATTTACTTCTACGACACATTATAAAACATTCTTAATTACCAGAACCCCTTAAAATGGCAATTTAGGTCATCATCTCCAAATGTCTGTTGTCACTGCTATTTCTAATGAAATAGAAACGTCATGCTACATTTACTAGTTAAGTGTCAAAATACAAAATGCTGCAATCGCTTATGCTGCTCTGTTGCTGTTCATTCGTCTACTGGGCATCAGAAAGGTTCACTTCAAATGTGGTGTGAAAGAAAGAAAAGTAAGCCAAAAAATGAACTCAGAAAAGACTTAAAATACATTGCCTCGAGAAAAACACTTTAGAAGAAAAACCACAAAATCTTATTCTTACCTTGGGAGACTTAGGCAGATCCACTGTTGTTTGCGCTGCTTGGGTTAGCAGAGTTGACTTTGTTTCCACCACTGAGGGATGTTTGGGAGGGCGGGGTGGAGGGTGCAAGAAAGAGCTTTCATATCTCCGCATCATGTAGTATTGTTCTTCAGTAATCTCTTCTACCAGAGTCCTGACTTGCAATGATTCTGTTTCCTTAAACAAGTTACTAACTACCTGAACAGTCATATTCAAGCGTCCAGTAGGAATTTCCCAGCATTCCCTGGGTTTGGCAAAGTCACTTATAAGTAGATAGGAGTCTGTGATATCTTCCTCCAACTGTAGACCTGGTGTAGCAGCCAAAATGTCCTCTTCAATAGAGAGATCTCTCACGGACACCTTCACGTTGAAGGGCAAGCGGAACTGTCTACAGAGCTCAGAAACCTGGTACTGCTTCTTGTCATGAATAACCTCTACAAAACCTCCTTCCATGTACAAAGGCAGCAGTGCTGCCTCATAGGACTTTTTGACGATTTTTTCACAGGCCAGAACGTTCACCACTTCTTTTTTCCCCTCACATAGGACTTCAGTAGTCTGTGAGTGATGCACTAGAAACTGGTCCCCAACTGATATGGATGATAGTTCGTCATGAAGGGGATGAAAGGCTTTGGTGGCTACCACGTGGAGTGGCTCCTTTTTACTCTTAGCTATCTCTAGGTCATAGGCAGTTGGGAACTCCCTAGGTCGCCGCTTGAATTTGCCTTTATAGCTAGTAGGGATCAAGAAGTGTCTTTTAGGAAAATTGCTTCTAATTTCTGAAGCTAAGATCCTTGATGCCTGGTACTTTTTGTGAATCACAATGGTTTTCCCAGGCTGTAAAATGTTTCCAAGCATTTTACATGTTTGAGGTCCTTCTATGACTTCAGCCACTATGGGGAACTCTTCACTGGTCATTTCGAAAAGATCTTTTGTGGATAACAGCTGAAGAAACCAATCAGCATCATAGCAATCAGTAATGTCTTTGACTTCAACATCTAAACTGGGGAGGATGCGGACTATATCCTTTTGGACTGAAAAATAAAAAAATTTTAAAATGGCATTTTGTGCATTAAAATGTTTGCTGTGAGATATAATAGAATCTTTCCTGGTGACATAGATAAGTTTCATTTTAAAAAAAGTACCTCAGATGATCAGAATATAGCATTTCCTACAATGACTTTCCTCTTTTTAAATTTTGATGAGCAAAGTTTAGAAAAACAATAGTCATGTAACCATTGCTTGGATTAAGCTATAAACCGTTAGCCAGCACCTTGGAGCTCTCAGAAACTCCCCAAACTGCATTACCCTTGCTATAGTCTGATAATAACCACTCCCCTGAATTTTGTGTTAATCATTCCCTTGTTTTCCTTTATAATTTTATCACAAATACTGTTGTTACTTGCTGTCTAGTTGGTTTCAGACTCATGGTGATGCTATATAGAGTTTCTAGTGGATTTGAACTGCTGACCTTGTGGCTAGCAGTCCAGTGTTTATTCTACAGCACTACACCAGAAATCCTTATCACATAGAATATATACATGTATATCTGGAAATGTATATACACATATACATATGTATACATATATGTATATATTGCTGTTGTTGTTAAGTGCCGTGCAGTCAGTTCCAACCCATGGAGACCCCACATGGGGTTTCTGAGGAGTGGCAGGTGAGCTTGAACCATTGACAATGCCATTCACACAGACTTTGCTGTCCAGTGTATTAACCCACAGCACTCCATTAGAACTCCTTGAGTGCCATCGAGTCTGTTCTGACTCATAGTACCCCTGTATCAGGTTTCCAAGGAGAGGCTGGTGAGCTTGAACCACTGACCTTGCAATTCAAACTGACCTTGCAGTTCAGTGCATTAACCCACCGCTCCACATGAGGTTCTAAAATATTTATATTATTATATAAAGTGGATACCAACATACAACATTTTTTTCCAATATGAAAGTTCTTTCATTCTCCACTGATACAGCATCAACATCTGGATAGAAAAGGAGTGATACATCATAGATCATTGTCATAGGAACCCTTCCGGAGTCTTTGGTATGTTGGTGGGTGCTGACAAATATTTGCATAATGTGTCACTGAGGACTACTAAGTCTTCATATTTTTCAAGCACCCTCTCTACCAAAAGTCTTTCTTTGAGCCCTACAAAGACACTGAAAATATTATTCTGAAATAATTTGTCTCTGCTTTCCATATACTGTGCCATATAGCATCATTATACATTGTCTTGCATTAAAACTAAAATTATGTGTTAATATGAATTTAGGATTTTATAACAGTTTGTATACTCTGACAATTTCCTAACACAGTATTATATAGCATTCTCATGATCCTCTGTTGCTTCCCCCATCTCCAGCCACCCTAGGTCATTATTCTTTCTCCCTTACGTGCTTTCAAAACTGAACAATTTGGGAGATTTAGAAGACAGAGTTTACTCCAGAAAAACATTATGTGTGTTATTAATTTTTATAATACTAACTAGTTATGCAGTATCTGAAAACTGTAGCTCTACAATTAATGTCATATTCCTTGTACATGCTGTGCAACATAGTTCTTGAAGGCACAACATGAAAAGGTATTATTTTGTTTTATTGAATATTTTTAAAGAAAAAATATTAACAGTTGCCTATAGATAAAAGTCTGTAAAGTATGTAAAGATTCATTACTGAAAAAAGCAGGAAGGCCAAAAAAACTTATTTTTTTAACCTTTTATTATTTTATTTTCAAAGTTAGCATATTTTAATTTTTGAAATTTTTGCCACAGGCTTTCCTGCATCCCAAGATAAATTTAGAAACATAAAAATTGAGTTCATTTAGATCAAAACAAACTAAGTTTAAGAATTCTAGCTGTTTGCGTTGCTATTAAGTGCCATCGAGTCAGTTCGGACTCAAAGTGACTATGTATAGGGTTTCCAAGGAGTAGCTGGTGGGTTTGACCCACCAACCTTGCCGTTCAAACCTACTGAAAATATTATCCTGAAATAATTTGTCTCTGCTTTCCATATACTGTGCCATATAGCATCATTATACATTGTTTTTGCATTAAAAATAAAATTATGTGTTAATAAGCACTTACAGTCAAGTGCTTATCCTACATCACCACACTAGGACAGCACTGGCTCTAGAGGAGTGTTTATACATATGTTCATGCTATTCTTTAAGTCCTAGGGAACAGCACAAATTGGCAGAATAGATGCAATCAAGGAATTTCTGGAATCTTTGAATTGATACATCAAAACATCAGTCAGTCCTCAGAGAAGACAGATTTGTGTCTGTGTTTGGGCACTGTGGGTGCTTTTGGTCAGAAATAGTCTCAGTACAATTGTTGTTGTTGTTGTTAAGTGCTGTTGAGTCAGCTCCGACCCATAGCTACCTTATACAGGGTTTCCATGGAGTCGCTGGTGAGCAGTTCAAACAGCTTTACAGTCTGGAGCATTAACCCACAGCACCACACCCGGTACAGTTTGTTGTTGTTGTTAAGTGCTGTCAAGTCAGTTCCGACCCATGGAGACCCTGTATAGGGTTTCCAAGGAGCGACTGGTGAGCTTGAATAACCAACCTTGTAGTTCAAACAGCTTTGCAGTCTGGCGCATTAACCCACAGGCCCACGCCAGGACTCCCACACCACGTACCAGAAAATTGAGCAGCAGTTAAGTAGCCTAGCCTGAAAGTTTTCTCTTTTGGAAATAGTCCTCAAGAGAAAACTTTCAGGTTAGGCTATTTAACTGCTGCTCAATTTTCTGGTATCAAATTATGGATCTACACTCAGTACTTTTATATTTAAATCCCCTCAGGGCATGCATTAGGCAAATCTGCTGCACAAGACCTTTTTAAAGTGTTGAAGAGCAAAGATGTCAGCTTGAGGACTAAGGTGAGCCTGACCCAAGCCATGGTATTTTCAATACCTTCATATGCATGCGAAAACTGGACAGTGAATAAGGAAGACCATAGAAGAATTGATGCTTTTGAGTAATGGTGTTGGAGGAGAATATTGAACGTGCCATGGGCTGCCAAAAGAACCAATAGATCTATTTTGGAAGAAATGCAACCAGAGTGCTCCTTAGAGGCCAAGATGACCAAACTTCGTCTCTCATACTTCGGACATATTGTCAGGAGGGACCAGTTGCTGGAGAAGGATATCTTGTTTGGTAAGGTGGAGGGTCAGAGAAAAAGAGGAAGATCCCAATAAGATAGATTGGCCAAGTGGCCGCATCGATGGACTCAAGTGTGGTAATGGTAGTGAGGTTGGCCCAGGATCCAGCAGTGTTTCGTTCTGCTGTGCATAAGGTCGCTATGAGTCAGTACCGACTCGATGGCACCTGACAACAACAACAGGACATACTGGAGCACTGGTGTGGTGCTGTGGACTAATGAGCCAGACTGCAAAACCACTTTAAACTGCAGGTTGGCAGTTCAAGTTCACCAGTCGCTCCTTGGAAACCTTATGCAGGATCGCTATGGGTCGGAACCAACTGGATGGCACTTAACAACAAGAAGTGCATAGTATCATATCTCATCTTCCTTGACATACTAGTTACATTTGACAGAGTAGACTTGGCTTCCTCTGAAACATTATTTTCTTCACTTATTTTTCTGATATCCTTCTGTTTCTTTGATGGTTTCTTCCCTCTGTGCACCTCCCGCCGCCCTGCATGGACACACACCTACCTCCTAGTGAATCCATGTTCTTTTTTTTTTTTTTTTAAATCTATATCCATATCCACAATAATCTTACACAGTCTTATGTGTTTAATATAATTAATATGCTAATGACTACACAAAGTATATCTCTATTTAAATCATGCTCCTAATCTCCACATCTCCACACTGAAATGCTCCATTTTGATGTCTAATATGTTGTTCTTCTTCTTAGTTGGTTTGAACTCATAACAACCCTATGCACAGCAGAACAATAAAACTGCCTGGTCAGGCAGCATCCGCATAATTGTTGTTATGTTTGAGCCCATTGTTGCTGTCGCTCTGTTCATCTATCTCCTTGGGGGTCTTCCTGTTTTTGATTGATCCTTCACTTTACCAAGCATGATGTCTTTCTCCAGGAAATGGTCTTCTTTACAACATATCCAAAAAACAAGAGACAATGTCTCCCCATCCTCACTTCTAAGGAATATTCTGACTACACTCCTTCCAAGACTGATTTGTTTGTTTTTCTAGCAGTACATAGTACTTGCAATATTCTTTGCCAACACTATAATTCAAATGCATCGATTCTTTTGCTATCTTCCTTATTCATTATCCAACTTCCCTATGCATATGAAGCAATCAAAAATTTCTTTTGCAGCAGATTTGCTTAATTTAATATGCTGTTTGATTTCTTCATTGCTACTTTCATGAGTGTTGAATATGGAACCAAACAAAATGAAGTCTTTGACAACTTCAATCTTTTCTCCATTTATCATGTTATTATTTATTAATACAGTTGTGAGAAGTTTTGTTTTCTGTACACTGAGGTGTAATCCATACTGAAGACTGCAGTCTTTGATCTACACCAGTAAGTTTTTAAGTCCTCTTTGATTTCTGCACCTCCATGTGACAGGTTGTTAATGAATCTTCCCCTATCCTGAAGCCATATTCTTATTCATATAATCCAGTTTCTCATATTATTTGTTCAGCATACAGATTGAATAAGTATGGTGAAAGAATACAACCCTGACACGCACCTTTCCTGATTTTAAACCATTCAATATCCCCTTGTTCTATTTGAACAACTGCCTCTTGGTGTATGTACAGGTTCCTCATGACCACAATTAAATGTTTTTGGAATAGCCTTTCTTCACAATGTTATCCATAGTTTATTATGATCCACATAGTCAAATACCTTTATATAGTCAATAAGGCCCAAGTAAACATTTTTCTGGTATTCTCTGATTTTAGTTAAGATAATCTGCTGTCAGCAATGCTGTCCCTAGTTCCACATCTTCTTTTGAAACCTGTTTGAATTTCTGGCAGACCCTGTCTATGTATTGCTTCCATTTGTTTTAATTACCTTCAATAAAAC